ACCACTTCCCTGGGCAGCCTGTTCCAGTGCTTGACAACCCTTTCGGTGAAGAAATTTTTCCTAACACCCAATCTAAACCTCTCCTGGTGCAACTTGAGGCCATTTCCTCTCGTCCTATCGCTAGTTACTTGGGAGAAAAGCCCAACACCCACGTCGCTACAGCCTCCTTTCAGGTAGTTGTCGAGAGCGATGAGGTCTCCCCTCAGCCTCCTTTTCTCCAGGCTAAACAACCCCAGTTCCCTCAGCCGCTCCTCATCAGACTTGTGCTCCAGACCCCTCACCAGCCTCGTTGCCCTTCTCTGGACACGCTCCAACACGTCAACATCCTTCTTGTAGTGAGGGGCCCAAAACTGAACACAGTATTCGAGGTGCGGCCTCACCACTGCCGAGTACAGGGGCACAATCACTTCCCTGCTCCTGCTGGCCACACTATTTCTGATACAGGCCAGGATGCCATTGGCCTTCTTGGCCACACTGCCAGCTCACACTCTTGTGCTAGGGACCCCAGAGCTGGATGCAGTGCTCCAAGGTAGGGGGTCTCACCAGAGCGGAGTAGAGTCCCATGGACTTGAGTACATTCAGGTTCTTCAGGTGGTCCCATACCTGATCTCCAACAATGGGAGGGACTTCATTCCCCCAGTCTCTGCCGTGAGGTTCAGGGACTTGAGAGATGTGGGAAGAGAGATTACCATTGAAAACTGAGGCAAAAAAAACAGTATCTCCGTCTTCTCTGTGTCAGTTGACACCAGTTCTCCTGTCTTATTTACCAGGAGGGGTACATTTTCTTTAATCTTCTTTTTCTGGCCAACGTATCTGTAAAAGCCCTTCTTATTCTTCACATCCGTTGCCAAACTCGGCTCTGGCTGTGCCTTAGCTTTTCTGATCTCCTCCCTACACATCTGGGCAGTGTTCCTGTCCTTCCCAGGATACATGTCCCTGTATCCGTTGTTAAGTCTAGCTTAAAGCTCTCCTTAAGTCTGGATAACTTCTTGGTGAAGGCCCTCTTGCCCCAGTTAGTCAGGTGAATCCCATCATTTCCCAACAGACCCGGTTTCTCAAGGGTAAACCCAGCTTCTCGAAGGTAGAGCCATGATCATAGAAGCCCAGCCCTTGAGTATGGCTCCAGCCACGCAGCCAGGAGCTCCAATCCCTTCATCATCTTCCTTGGCCTCTCTCCAGTATGTCCATGTCTCGCTTGTACTGAGGAGCCCACAGCTGAGCTATACAGATCTCAGGAGGAAAGCGTGACCCGAGCGGTGTTTGGAATGTGTTGAGAACATGTTGCAGTACGTGATCTGTTTCCCTGTTGTCTCTTTAGCATGCTACAGATACTGGAAAAAGTTGAAAGAATTGGAAAGTTGTACCTGGAGCTTCTCAGCATTGGCAACATCCTCTTCATCGACTGGAAGGCTGACATCTACTGCAACCCCCAGCGACGTGTGAAAGTCTACACGGAATTTGGCATTGCTGGGATCCTTGTTCAGAGCACAAGGCCCTTCCTGGAGGAGCTGGACAGCTTCTCTAAAGTGATGGAGCATTGCCTGGCAGAGTGGAAGAAGTACCTGGAGACTCAAAGGGACACCTACTATCATCTCAACCTATTCACTGCACACCAGCTCTTCTACTTATGCAGCCAGCTGGCCAGAGTCCAGAAAGGCATCGTAGAACCACAGGTGCTCATCATGCTTTCCGTCATCAAGCATGACATCAAAGAAGGAGATATCAAAAAAGCCCTGGGGGAGGCGCTGATGACTCCTCTGGACTCTGTGAATACGTGGGCAGGAGGCGAGAAATCGGTTACCTGGCATGACTACATCATTCCGTTTCCCCAGTTCATCAAAAGCTTGGCCGAATCGGGCTACGATGAGTCGGTGGCAAAGGCAGCCTTGCAGAGCTGCCTGTCCAGCTCACCCATCACGGAGCAGATGCTCATGGATTTCGCCTTCGAGCAGGGCGACAACAAGGAGTTGGTTGAAAAGCTCAGCAAGTTCTATGAGGAGATGAGAGAAACCTTCCTGCAGAAGAGACGGAAATTTTAAACCAGGAACAGAGATGTTGACCAGGTTTCCTTTCCAGGCACACGATGAGTTGGCCGCCTCCTTTGAAAGTTTGCTGTCTATTTACGACAAGGTGAATCTGCTCTGGGATGCCTACTGTAAGAAATTCGCTGGCCTGGTGTCCGATAAATACATAGGCTTGGACGTTTTTGGGGAGATGCTGAAGCGCTTGGCTGCTCTGGAAAGCACGTGTGTTGAGAGAAGTTTACCCGTAGGCTTTGAAGCGGGGAAACCACTTCTTGTCACGTGTAAGGAAGAGGAAATGTTACCCAACATGTTATTCATCTACCGACACGCTGAGACGGCACCTCTCCCGTCGCACGACGAGGTCCTGGTGTGTACATCTGATACGGAGAAGGAGGTGGAGCTGCTTGTCAGGAGAGCTCTTTCCCCAGGTTCCCAAGACCAGAAGATCTACTGTTTGCTGGGTGCTGATAAATTGGTTTATAAAGTTTCCAAACAACTCGAGTCCCACTTCTTCCGCCTGGTGCAATCTTCCAGCATCCCCAACTACAGATTCATCATCTTCTGCAATGCCAAAGCTCACCACTCCTATGTTATCACGGCCTTTGATGCCTACAAGGTGACTTTCCCATGCTGCTCCAAGACAGAAATACAGACCTACCTGAGCAGAGTGGAAGAAGTACCTGGAGACTCAAAGGGACACCTACTATCATCTCAACCTGTTCACTGCACACCAGCTCTTCTACTTATGCAGCCAGCTGGCCAGAGTCCAGAAAGGCATCGTAGAACCACAGGTTCTAACCTCAAGCCTTTGAAGAGCCCTATCAGCAGAACGTGAAGTTCATCTTTTCGGAGCGAGCGGGGATGGGTAAGTTTTTGGGGAGTCATATTCCGAGTTGTACCTCAAACCAAGGAGGCAAGGTGGCACACTGTGATTTTGGGGAGAGCTTTCCTTGTTTTGGGTCGTATGCAAGTGTAGGAGGGTAGATGATTGACCGTCTCTTGTACTCCTTAGGGAAGTCTCTCTTTGTGGACAATACCATAAGAAAGGTCCGTGCCCGGCTGGGTGGCACGCTACCGCTTCACAAAACCATTAGGCTGATGGAGTCGGATATTGATTTCCAGTTCTTCGTGGAGGAGCTCTTCTCCACCAAGGAATCCTCGACTGAAATTCAGCCCAGCATCTTCCACATCTATGTGTCTCCAGTGGTGAGTGCTTGGATCTTAAAGTGGACAAGAAGAGGTGGTGAAACACCACAGAAGACCCTACACGCAGGGAGGGAGAGAAGGAGGTGGAAACGCAAATCCAGCTCAATTGGAGCAGCGAGCACATTTTGGCAGACTTCTGCATCGATTTTGTTTTGGTTTGCCCTGCCAGGTATCGAAGGGTCTCTACCGGCTGCTGATTGACCTGTGCATCCTGCGGCACATCCAGAGTCCTGATGGCTTTGTCTGGAAGTGCAAACCCTCTCATCTTTACTTGATTGAGTACCTGGCAAAAGGGAAAGGTGTTAGCAGTACGAGGAAGCAAGAGGTATTTTGGGGGGGGGGGTGTCTGCGCTTGTCTGTCTCTCCAGTGGGTCGATGTCTCACCTACACAGAAGCAACCAGGTCAAACACGTCTACTCAAATATCAGGCCCTGCACTGAGTTTTGGAGGAAAAAGGGTGCTTTTTCATCCCAATTTTGCTGTAACTTGAACCTCATGCTTGCTTCTAAAGCCAGTTTGCATCCGAGCCATGGTTTAGACTTACTGAAGGTGTGAAATGCACCCCAGATTCACAAGTAGTTGATCATCCATCTGTGATTCCTCACCATACCTTGAATATTGACTGAGTTCAGGTCCCTCCATCTCCAAAAGGCTTTAGTGGAACAGGAGAAAGCGTAGGAGAAGGTAACAAGATCACCCAACCCAAGACAGCATGCTGGGCAAGACAGACCTTAATGGTTATAGGGATTTCAATCCACATGAAGGCTTGGAGAACTCTTGACATTTCTACATTTCTCCCCACCCCCCAGATTGCCAAACCATTTGTGACCGGGGGAAATAACAAAAGGGGTTTTGGTGATATAGGCAAATGTGGGAGGATGGGGAACGATCCTCATGGTGATTTGTGTCTTCTTGCTTTTAGATGTCCATTGAAATGGAAGAAAAGTTTCTGGATCTTTTTCCTACCGTGGAGTGCGTATCACCGCTGCAGGTGCTCTACTTGCTGGAAAATCCCAGCTCTGTCCCTCCTGCGGAACTGAGGGAGGAACAGTTTGACCGGGACAAGCTAAATAGCGAAGTTTTCCAAAGGTCCTACCAATATCTCCGCAGATACAAACGAAAGGAAAACCTTGACCATTTAACTTTTGTCCCTGGAAGGATCGAAGGGACAGAGAAAGAATGCCTGCCGTGCTTGATGGGGTTCTGTGGGAGAAGCAATCCCTCCTGGACTGAGTTCAGCAACTTCACGCACTTCTTGAACTTCCAGCTAATAAAGTGTGAGGAATCGGTCTTCTGCAGTCCGGTGCTCGGAGACAAGTTCCGTGGCTTCAGAACATTCGCCATCAAGTTCATGATCGCCATGTCCAAGGACATTGCCATGCCTTTCCTCAACATGTCCGATGAAAGCGTGCCAAGCGAGGAGTGGAAGGAGATGGACAGTATTTTGAGAGAGTACCAGTATTTTGAAAGAGTTCCCTTTTTGCTGCAGGTTGGAGCAGGAGTCTCACCCTTATATAGTCTTCCACGCTGAGGATGGTTCCATGGAGTTTTTGGTTTTCATATCAGCCGGAACTTTGATGCGATTGATGCTCATTCCCAGGCTGTTTTGGAGACAGCGGTTATGAGCAGGAATTTATACAATACCTTGGCACTCCAAAATGTTCCTTTCAATAAGAAATTTGAAACCTTACCCAGAACTGAGCAGTTGGAGGCCCTCTGCAGACTCTTTGGTGTGAAACGCTGTAAAGATGCAGATGCTTCGTACCAGTTGACTCTGGACAACACCATGAAGATGTTGGCTATTCACCTGCGTTTCCAGTGTGGGATCCCCGTGATCATCATGGGTGAAACCGGTTGTGGGAAGACGAAGCTGGTGCACTTCATGTGCAACCTGCAGAGGGCAGGCAGGAAAGTTCAGAATATGATGGTGGTGCGTGTTCATGGTGGCACCACCTCCAAGACCATCCAGGAGAAAGTAAGGCAGGCCATGGAGCTGGCACGCGACAATGAAGAAAAGCACAACATAGACACGGTGCTCTTCTTCGATGAAGCCAACACCTCAGAGGCCATCTTTGCAATCAAAGAAGTACTGTGTGACCACAGCGTCAGTGGAAAGCTGATTTCCACTGACCGCTTAAAAGTGGTGGCCGCTTGCAACCCTTACAAAAGGCACACCAAGGACACCATTGAGAAACTGGAAAAAGCTGGCTTGGGATACCAGGTCCTGAGCGAAGACACCCCGGAGAAGCTGGGCTACATTCCTTTGCGGCAACTGGTGTATCGGGTGCAGCCCCTTCCTCCCAGTTTATTACCTCTGGTCTGGGATTTTGGGGAGCTGAATGAGAAGGTGCAAAGCCTGTACATCAGGGAGATTGTGAAGTCCACAGTGGAGAACAAGATCCCCGCAGAAAACCTGGATGTCTTCACCAATGTCATTTCAGCCTCCCAGAAGATCCTGAGAGAGAAGAAGGACGAATGCAGAGTCGCCAGCCTCCGGGATATAGACCGCTGCATGAAAATAGTGCTCTGGTTTTATGACTTAAGAGACCTGCTTTTCCACCAGATTGAGAAGAAGAGGTGGTGCAAAGGGGAAGAGGAACCTACCTTAAACGATGTGCAAAGGGCTTTGGTCCTTTCGGTAGGGGCCTGCTATTACGTGTCTCTTGAGAACCGCCAAGAGTACCTGGAGGAGGCTGCAAAATGCTTCTTGGTCCCTGCGTCCCGGCTACAGCAAGAGATTGAGTTGTACCAAGAGGTATTTCTTGATAACCTCTCCATTGGTAAGGCGACAGCCTGCAACAACGCTCTGAGGGAGAACATCTTCATGATGGTTGTCTGCATGGACCTCCGGGTGCCACTCTTTCTGGTTGGGAAGCCGGGAAGCTCCAAATCCCTATCCAAAACCATTGCTGTGAATGCCATGAAAGGCACATTGTCCGGAAGCCCGTTGTTCAAAAGATGCAAAGAGGTCCGGCTGCTCTCCTTCCAGTGCAGCCCCCATTCAAAACCAGAAGGCATCATCTCCACTTTCCGACAGTGCGCTCAGTTCCAGAAGGGCAAGAACCTGAATGACTTTGCGTCTGTGGTGCTGCTGGATGAGATCGGTCTGGCAGAAGACTCGCCTGATATGCCGTTGAAGGTGCTGCAACCTTTTCTGGAAGATGGATGCGTTGACGATGAGAATCCAGAGGCTTACAAGAAAGTTGGCTTTGTGGGCATCTCCAACTGGGCCTTGGATCCTGCCAAAATGAACAGGGGCCTTCTTGTCTTTCGGACTGAACCTAGCAAGGAAGAGCTGGTGAAGACCGCCAAAGGCATCTGTGCTGACCAACCTCACCTGGAAAGAATCGAGCATTTGTTCCCCATTCTGGCAAATTTCTACTGCAACGTGCTGAAAACACAGAAAACAGAGTTCTTTGGGCTTCGCGACTTCTACAGCTTAATCAAAATGATTGTGTCCTGCACTCAGGACATGAAGCGCAGTTCTCAAGAGGAGCTCCTCGTAAAGGCAATTCAGAGAAACTTTGTAGGCTCCAGAGATATCTACCCTCTGGAAATCTTCCATAACTGCACCAGCGAGGTATGTCTTACCCAGGCGATGGAAACCAGCTGCATCCGCCTGCTGGAGCAAAACATGGCCAAATGGCAAGCGGGATTCATGTCTCGTTACCTCCTGTTGCTGACGACCAACAGTGTCGCCTTTCAAATCATCCAGATGATGCGGCTTATAGACGCCGGCAACTGTGACATTATATTTGGCTCCAGTTTCCCACGGGACAAGGATTATTCCCAGGTGTGCCGCTCTGTGAAGAGGGTGAAAATCTGCATGGAGCTAGGCAGGTCCGTTGTCCTCCTCAACATAGAGAACCTTTGTGAGAGCCTTTACGATGCCCTCAATCACTGCTTCGTCAGCCTGGGGGACAATAACTACGTTGGCCTGGGCCTCGGCACTCTTCATGCGGTGAAGAGCTGCGTGAAGGAGGAATTCTGGCTGATTGTTATAGAGGAGAAGAAAGTGGTCTACACGGAGTTCCTCACCCCTCTGCTGAGCCGTCTGGAGAACCATTGCTTGGACATGAACACCATCCTCAACTGGCAACAGCGAGACCTGAAGCAGGACCTGGAGAAATGGGCCAATCGGTTTGTCTACAGCGAGAAGCCCGATTTGTTCAGGGTCTGGTCCAACACGCTTGCTCCCAAGGAACACGATGTCTTCATAGGCTTCGGCGATTACACGTCC